CGCAGGGAGCCCGATGTGGGGCTCGATCCCAGAATTCTGGGATCATGACCTGAGCCGAAGGCAGATGCCCAATGACTGAGCCACCCAGGCGCCCCAAGACTTTCATTTTCTATGATATCTGCCTGGATTTGTAATCTGAAAATATCACTTCCAATTCTCCTTGGGCTGTGGCCTTGGGGCCACGACTCAGGTGACTACTGACTGTACAACTCCTTAACGACTTCAAGTGTTTCATGATTACATGTTTCGCTGGATGCATATTGATGGGCTCCTGCTTAATAGTCCTTGTCACAATATCTTGGCAAATAATTCCCCTGAGCTCAATATAAGCTGTTTTGCATGTGCCGTCAGTCTTATTTCACCAGAGCTTGGATTTTAGTTTGTTGCAGGGTGGTTGTAGGTAAGTTAATGTTGCTAAGAAAACCGGAGGAAATTTTCTACCTGTTTTTCTTTTGTTCCATCTGTTCATTTTTATCTTGAGTCATTTCACGATTTTGGTTTCTACTTGGAATTTGTCATCTGAAAAAAACTACTATATAGCCGGTTGGCTATTTTGCTTAATAAGAATATAGTTCACCATGGAAAAGTATCATGAATGGATAACAACAGTTTCTGTTATAAAAAAAGGTATTTTTCTTTTGAAGAAATCTGAGAATATTATGCAACGTGTTTAAGCTTAAAGAAATCTGTGTCTAAAGATTCCAGGTGGTCTAAGCAAAGTCACCCCGTATGGGTTTTGGCTGAAGCCATGCTTTCTCATCCTCTCTGTATGGACACCCAGGCGAGAACCGAGCGCGGGGCTGAAGGGCCGACAGCTGCACTGGGGCACTGCAGACATGAACAGCTTGCCCAACGGTACAGATGCCACCGTACGCTGTCGTGCACAGACCAGAATAAAACAAATGGCACTGTTGCTTTATCAAACTCCTGACTGTGCCATTTCCCCAAATACAGCCCTCTGCTGTCTATTCCTCTCACATCCACTCCTGACGGTTGTATGATTCACTTCCCAAGTTCAGTTCCACAACTCAAATATTTTCTATTTTGCGTTTCTCTTTGCCTCAAATTCAACAGACCCAAAATAACACCAATCTCAATCTTCGAATTGGATGAGATCCCAGGGGACATCCAATTTTGACTTTCATGGCTACATGAATAGCATTTATGAAGCTTCCAAGAGGGGTTCTCTAATCTCTCCTTTTACGGCTCCAGCTCGAGGGAACTCCCTCTCTTCCCAGAGCAGCCATTTTTGGTACTTTGCTTCCAATACCAATTCTCTGTCCATGTTTCCCCGGCCAGGAAATATCCTCCTCCTTCCAGTTCCCAGTGCCCGTTAAGTCAGCAGCATCTGATGACTCCCCAGGCCCTTCATTTCTAATCAAGTATAGGATCGGTCAGGCCTACAGCTCCCTCTCCAAGCCCCATAATTCTTAACACGTACTAGGTCATCAATAATTAATGGATGATTAACTGACACTTAAGAGTTCAACCGTAGAAGATGTGCGTTTCTTACTTTGAATCTTGTGCTTCATGTGATGTTTTTGACCAAACAGCTAGATGAGAATTTCATCAGGTTAATCATAAATTAGAAATAAAACTACAGCTCATTAGCAGATGAAATGATAATTGTATAGTTTGTACATCACTGAAAGATTCCTGTGGAGAGAAGAGTGCTGTATACAATGGGAAATGACATTGCAGAGAAATTTTGGTAAAACTGACCCAGCTCACAGGAGTGAGCTCATTCTTTTAAATCTCTCAGATTTTTCTTATCCTTTAGTGTGTAGACTGAGTCTAGCTTTCCTAAAATAAACTTTAGTGTTCTGCCAGTAATTCTAGCATCTTAAAATTTCATTAAACACGCAAACATTGAACCTTTGGTAGCCAATTTTATTTTCAAATGATTTCAGTCGGATGGATAGGAATAGGGACTATTGTATCTTACTGTCATTTCCTTACATACCTGAAAACAGAACTATGCCTAAGGATTAGTTAGAGGTAGTTCATTAAGGCCCAGATTCCTTTCTGATCCAAGAGCTAGCATTAGAAGAAATAACTTAGAGATGAGTGAATCACCACTTATTAGACCAAGTTTCCAAAAGCTGTGTTGCAGCAAAAATTGCTAAAAACCAGGTGACTTCTGCTGTTTAGAAGCCAGAGTATAGAAACCCAGTGGAGTAGGCAAATTCCTCTCACTTCTCACCCTTCACTTAGAAGCTCAGTAAGTTAAAGGAATGCAGCATTAAGCTACTTCCCAGAGGACTCAGTGAGGTAGAAACGAATATAAAGGATAAGGAAAAAGACTCTCTCCTATTTCAATCTTTAACAACCATACAAAGCGATACTCAAGCAAAGTGCATGTACATGCGTGTTCACAGCAGCACCGTTCACAACAGCCAAAACGTGGAAACAGCTCAAGTGTCCATCAGCAAACAAGTGGATAGACAAATTATGGTCTATACAATGGGATATTATTCAGCCACAAAAGGAATAAAATAGATACATGCTATAAGGTAGATGAACCTTGAGAATATTATGCTAAGTCAAAGAAGCCAGACACAAAATGTCATGTATCTTATGATTCCATTTAGAGGAAATCTCCAGAATACATCAATCCACAGAGACGGAATGCAGATTGGTGGATGCCAGGGGCAGGAGGTTGGGGGGTGGGGTATGGGGGGAAACTGCTTAATGGTAGGGAGTTTTACTTTGGAATGACAGAAATGTTCTGGAACTAAGAGAATGGTGGTTGTCCAACATTGTGAATGTACTAAATGCCACTGAATTGTTCCCTTTAAAATAGTTAAAAAATAAAAACCAAGTCTTAAAACCAGACCCTTGCCTCTAGAATCCTCTCCACTGTCCTTTACACTTACCTTGCATACCATGGACGTCTTTGCTCCAAGCCTGGCAGCTTGGACACACTGGTTGGCACCTTTCCCTCCAAAGCCAATAAAAAACTTATGTCCATGGATGGTTTCTCCGGTTTTTGGCAAACGAGAAGTAAGACTGCCATAATTTAAAAAGAGAAGGAAAAAAAAAAGGCACCTTGGTAACTGCAATCAATTTAAGTTCAGAAGAGAGAGGGAAGGTTCTCTGATGGAGTCTAGTCTTAGCCATCAGAAATGCAAGCAGAAGTAGAGAAGATCACCTTTTCCTTTAAGATAACACTTGGTAGTTGGCCTCGATATCCAGAATGCATCTGCTGACAGGATGCTTGCCCATCCCCCCACAGTCCCAGCGCTGCGCTCCTAGAGCCACTTTAGTTTCTAGTGTCTGCTGCATCAGGGGTGTTCATGCATGCCTCCATTTTTCATCATGGGGAGCTCTTGGATGGAACTCCCTTCCGATTCCCACTTCCCAGTGCCCAGCACAGACCTTTATTCACAGTGGGACTTGTACGTGGGACCAAGTTAATGTGTGTTTCTGTACTGGTTTATCTGGTCACTTTAACAAGAAGTAGGAAGTGTACCAGGGCTCTGGTAACCAGGTTCAGAAAGGACCTAAGGAGAAGAGGGAAGTTGCAGTTCTAGGCGCTAAGGAATCCCATTTGTTTCCTGGCAGGTGGGGCAGGAGTGGGTTATTATTTCGATGGCAGGATAGGTGTTAGTCCCAGTCCATCCTGTATCCTACCCATTTCAGGTACTGACTCAAAAAGAGCATCTATTCTTAAAAAATGGAGTCTAGAGAGCTAAGTTTAGTTGAAAATTTTTACTACAGAAAATTTCAAACCTATAAAATTGGAGAAAACAGTATATTGACTTCCCCACCCCCATGCACTCATCACCCAGATTCAACTATTGTCACCTCCTAGCCAACCCGGTTTCAGTCTCTACCATCATGGACTTCTCCAAGAGCTAAGGATTTTCACTCACCTGTTACTGCCTGGTGAGGGTAGTAGTAAAGGAGACAAAAGGTCAGAGTAAAAGGTTTCCTCCAGGTATGATTTTCATAACATTAAACTGGAAGATGTGAGGAAACATCTTTGAAGGACAGAAGATGTGAAAATGGAAAGGGTGAGTGTGAGTGAGTGAGTGAGGAAGATGGGCTTGATCAGCATGAGGACTGGATGGCCAGAAAGAAGTGGGCCGAGGGCCAGATGGAGCGATGGCAGGTGTGACCAAAAAGGTTAATTAGCTTTAGATGGGAAAGAAAGGCCAAGAGGGAAGTTCACGACAGTAAGTCGATTGAGAACCTACCCTGTTTTGGCAGATCTGAAATTTATATTCATTTCCCACCTAGGCTGTGATCTATCTGAAATCAGTCTCTTGTGCCTAATCTTAGAGTACCCGGACAATGCCAATTCCCACAGGTCACTAACAGCCTGTTTGCAATGGAATGATCTATGACTGATGCCAAGAACACACGATGGTGTTGATAATGACCAAGTTCAACCTGTGCATCTCCTTTATGTAGTTCTAAAAGTCTCAGTAAATTGGGCTAAACTACTCCATTCCCTAACACTGCAGTGTCAAATATGGCTATTTGAGATTCAAAAGAGACTCATCAATAATTTGAAAACATTCTATTCCACTCCTCCCCTTTTCAGTGCTATTTTTACCTCCTATTCTAAATGCATTTATAGTACTGATGAAAAAAATATCCATCTACAAGGTTCACTTCTGAAAAAGGTACTCAATCAAGAGAAAAATGGTTTTAATGTAATGTTATTATCCTGTCATTTAATTTAGCAATGACAAGTGATGATGAGATTTTGATTTGCATCAGAAATCTTAAACATTTTAGGATTCTGTTATGAACAGGCAATGATGAGTAATCTGTGCGACTGAGTAACTATGTGACTTCTTGCCTTATTGATGCTGCTACAAACATCCTTAACAACCTTAAAAAGAAAAAAATATCCAATGTGGCTAAAAACAGGCCAAATAACTTAATTAGTAAGACTGTCGGTATAGAAACTTATGACTTCCACTATGTTTATACTTAGATCTGGGTCCCAGTCCTCTGGTTTGAATCAAGTATATTTTTTATTATTGGCTGTAGGAAATCATGAAAAATATATCAGCAGATGATTATTGGGATGTGTATATATGGGACGAAGGAGTGAAATCGGGGGTACAGTGTTGTGTTTGATGTGGGAGCAGATGGCTGGGATTTAAAACTCTTTTCTAAACAGCTTATATTAACACAAGCACTGTACTAACTTAGCCATCACTAAAATTTCTCCCTCCTTTGGAATTCTACTCTTTTCTTTCTGCATCTCTGCCCTACTCTTTCTTTCTTCCTTCAATTGTAGACTCTCCCTGTATGGGGACAAGGACCAAGTCTGCCATTTTATCCAGAGTGCCTGCCACTTAGCATGGGCTTAACATATTTTTTGACTGAGTGAATTTTTTAAAGAGACTTCCCTTGTCTCCCTGAAGGGTAGCAGAATACGAATGGAGGAGCTCAGGACACACTGGCCAAATGTACCACTTTGGTATAGTGCTAATGTTGGGCTGTCGGGCAGTGAAAAGTAGCCAATGGAGGGAGAGGCTTTCTCTGAACTGCCCCTTATCTGCCTCAAGACCAGTCCCCCAAAAAGACTCAACAGCCATGAATCCCCTCCCTGGGAGTTTCATCAACCAGCAAGGACGGACTCGTGTCACAGACAAGAAGTCAACACCACACCCGGACAAACGTCACAAACATCGTCATACCTCCTATTTAGTCTACTGAGGGCCAGTTCATCTTTCCTAAGTCATTTACTCTCCCCTAAGAGGCCTCCCACCGCCCTTCCCTATCAAGAAAGTTGAATTCTTAATCACCTTGGAGAGTCACTCCTTTTCCCCTGGGCATCACCCATGTATACCTGGGGCATACAGGTTAATACATTTGTTTGTTTTTCTCTTGTTAATCTGTCTTTTATTACCACGGTCTCAGCCAAGAAGTGAGGAGGGAAAATTAGCCCCTCACCTCCACCTCTCTTTTCTGTGTCTCCCCTGGGTAGCTTCCATTTCCTACTTCTGAAATGCGGATGTGGCGGGGTTGATGAATGGGAAGGAGACTGGTGGGGATATTCAGTTGTCTGGCAACGACAATCCCATGGTTTACCAGACCTTGCCCACTGCATTCACAAGTATTAGCAGCACTCCTCTCCTATAAGCAGGAACTCTAACTGGAAAACAGACTATCATTCTTCATTCATGTGTTAATTCAACAAATGTTAAATCGGTGTTTTCCAGTCTACCTCTATGGGACAAAAGCAACTTGCTGACAATGTAATAAATCCTAACCCTAATGCAAGCAATATATGAGTGGAAAAAAAATGTCTGAGCACAAGATTATTATGATCTGATTCATGTTTTTTTTTTTCTTTTAAAGATCAAATTGGCGGGCGCCTGGGTGGCTCAGTTGGTTAAGCGACTGCCTTCGGCTCAGGTCATGATCCTGGAGTCCCTGGATCGAGTCCCGCATCGGGCTCTCTGCTCTGTAGGGAGCCTGCTTCTCCCTCTGACCCTCCCCCATCTCATGTGCTCTCTCTCTCTCTCATTCTCTCTGTCTCAAATAAATAAATAAAAATAAAAAATCTTTAAAAAAAATATCAAATTGGCTTTATTAAGCGATCTGTGAATCGGGCAGCATCTAACAGGTAGAGGGGAGCGCCCCAACTCATGTTTCTTAAAGATAAAAAGATATATGTATATGTTGTCATAATATGTAAATGCACAGAAAATGAAATGTTAATGATAGGTATCCATGAAAAGGGTGGAGAGAGGGAGCGAAAGTTCATGTTTTACTTTATATACAGAGGTATACGCAACAAGAATTTATTTGTGCATTATGGGAAGCCACTTGTTACTACTTCAGATTCATCTGGCTTCTCAGCATCTTTTCCCAGCTACCTGGGCTGGTAGCTGGCTCCTTGTAGGTGCAACCTAACACAGCCTTGCCCAATGCCACTCTCTTTCCATTCCAGGGTTTCTGTTCCTTGGTCATAGTTCCCCGGCTGTCCGCAGCAGGTAACCAGTTAAACACATCAAGCATCTTTGTATAGGCTTTTCTTGCTCCCTGGATTATAGCCGTGCACAGATTATATGCTCTTAGACCTTTGCCTTGTGACCTTTCTGTTGAACCCAGACTAAGTTTACTGCTTATTTTATTGATTTTTTTTTTTAAAGTAAATGGAATGGAAAGCGGAGTTGAGAGCAACTAGAAAGTTACAGACAGGCAGAAACATTCCTGAGGGGCGCCTGGGTGGCTCAGTCAGTTAAGTGTCTGCCTTCGGCTCAGGTCATGATCCCAGGGTTCTGGGAGTCCTGGGATCGAGCCCCGCATCGGGCTCCCTGCTCGGTGGGGAGCCTGCTTCTCCCTCTCCTCCCCGCTCAGTGTTCTCACTCGCTATCTCTGTCTCTGGCTCTCAAATAAATTAAAAAAAAAAAAAAAAGCATTCCTGAATTATAAATCCTAATTTACCTTGAACTAGGCTTTCCTATCTCTTTCCTTACTAAAATCATGAAATTAAGGTCTGGCTCAAGAAAGGACCTGCACAACGCACCATCCCCTCGATGAAAGCATTAATATGATTTGCCCCAATTCAAACATGAGGTTTAGCAGGGTGCCACGGGCAAGGGGTTAAAAGGAAAATAAAAAGGGAGCAGTATACTGGTAGTAATACACTGTTGCTACCCTTTAAAAATTAAAAATTGAGTGAAGTTTCTGAATGAGGGAGAAACCGCAGACAGAGAAAACCAATCATAAGAAATATATTTGAATTTAAAACAAATTCGTAGCTTTAAAAATGTCACATTTTAAATTCGCACAGGAGGAAACACTGCTAAATGTTCAGATGGCCCTGCAGTCTTTTGGGCTCTGAGAGGTCACGTGGCTAGAGCCTAGTTGCGCAAGGCATCAGGCCTGAGCCACTTACTGATTGTATTACCTTTGACAGCTTTTCCCTCTTTGAACCAGCTTCTTCTCTTGCAAAACAGGTTTAATAATACTTGTCAACTCCTTAAATGCCTGGGTTTTGTGCTCGGAGTTACTTCACTGACAGGTGTTATCAGAAC